TTCTGAATGCGGTTGTAGGGATCCGCCCACCTCATTCCTTAGAGACCGATGCCTCCGGGAAGTGCGTGTGCAAACATGCATGTCACTCTTTGCCGGGTGCTGGGCTGTGGAGACGAGGAAGCACCCCGACCCAGCCTTGCTCTCCTGGAAGGAGCATTTTGGGCAAAAGGGGGTCCCCTCACTTGCACATCCCCTCGGCAGTTCTCAGCCAGTCCTCGGCTCCAGATCGAGTAGTCAAGGCCACTCTGGACCGTGGACACCACACTCTGGACTTTGGCCCACATGCCTGAGTGTGCAGACAACAGCAGAATGTGGAGCATCTATCAGGCCGGTTTTATAAATGGGGAAACGGAGCCGGAAGCTCTTCTTCGGTCTCTTTTCATTCTTGAGGGGTCTGGGTGCTTCCAGGAGTGGTTCTTGTGAATTCTGCTGCCTCCTCAGCTCGAACATCTCCGTGTTCTGGATTCAGACTCCATCACAGCACCAAACACCTCTGGCCAGTTTTTTCTGCAACACGACAGCCCTGAAGATAGAAATGCAGACTCTTGGTGTCATCACAGGAAACTGGAGGTGAGCATGAGCACCCTAGCCTGGCTTACCTGCAGAGCTACAAGTACGCAAAACCCAAGTGGGCAAGACACAAGCCAGGAGATGGCGGCAGGCCTCGCAGCCCGGGCTTCGCACACGCCCAGGGGTTCTGAGCACAGCACGCAGACTGCTAGGTGCTTGCTGCTTCCACAAAAGCTCTTTTATTACTTCAGCTGCTTAGAGAAACTCTTTTAGTGATTTCCAAGATTATGGACCTGTTGTGTCTACACTTTAGTTTGTCAAGCATTAGGAAAACGTGAATAAGTCTGATTTTAATGCTAATTAAGATATCAGGGCTCCATCCCTGTCAGCAGCTTGGGGAAATGAAGAGAGAAAAGCTTTTCTCAGACTGACTCATGGCCAAGTAGAAACGGTGTTCCCCCAACTTCATAAACTCCTCCCTTCAAATAATCCAGAAGGTGCTTAAAACAAGCGGCTCTTGGTGTGGTCTAGAGTCTCTGTCAGAGGCAGTCAGCACGGCCATGGGCAGGTGGATAGGCCAAAGTGGGCTTCACTTTGAGGCGAAGAAGGTGCACTTACCGGAGACAGGATGGCTCTCACAGAGGGCAGACCCCTCTGGTGTCCCTGAGGCTGCTGGGGTGTGGCCTCTCCTCCCATTAGGGCTTCGAGGAGCATCCCCAAGGCACTTGCCTGTATGGATTCTTGTGCTGTAAAAGCCTTTCGGTCATATCCCATCTCGGGCTGGACATGGGATTCAGAGTCTATAAGAGACTCAGTCTTTGTTTTTTATATTTTATTTCTTTATTTGACAGAGAGAGAGAGAGAGCACAAGCAGGGGGAGCGGCAGAGGGAGAAGCAGGCTCTCTGCTGAGCAGGGAGCCCAATGTGGGACTCGATCCCGGGACCCTGGGACCATGACCTGAGCCGAAGGCAAACACTTAACCGACTGAGACACCCAGGCGCCCTGAGAGACTCAGTCTTGTTCTCAGTATTTTCCTGGTACCTCGGACAATGTTAAGGAAACATTCATCTTCACATTCTGTCCTCTATTCTTGGCCATTTCCATCCAGACATTGTCATGAAAAGGGGCAGAGTCCCCATATGTTGGACAGAAGTGCCCGGAAGAGGTGGGAAGTGCAGGCACTGAGGACGCAAGGTGGTTGCAGGAGGGAGGGAGTCAGTCTAGTTTGGGTTCTCTTTCTCCCAGTGCCTTGCCTTTGGGAGGGGGGAGGATGAGCAGGAGAAATTATTTGGAATGCAAACCCAGGAGGCTCTTCCCCTCAGTGTGCCCGTGTCTCCCGTTGAAGAGCTTGGGATCAGACAGACCTGAGTTCTTCTCCTGTCTTTGCCGTGTATCAGCTATACGTCCTTGGGCAAATCCTGTAACCTGTGCCTTGTTTCCTGTCTGTAACTTGGAATGATATTGACGGCCCCTGCTCATACGAGAGATCATGTGTAAAGGGCTTTATCAGTTATCTATTGCTCTGTGACACACCATCGCAAGACCCTAGTGGCTTAAATCAACAACCGTTTGCTTGGCGCGTAGCTCTGCGGGTCCACGGCAGCTCCTCTGGTCTCACCAGCCTCACTCCTACTGCTACACGAGGATGGCCTCGTTCCCAGGTTCCGGTGGTGGACAGGCTGCCCGCCAGGGGCTGGGACTGTTGGCTGGGCGCCCACCTTTCCTCCACGTAGCCTCATGCTCAGGCAGGCTGGCTCAGGTGTGTTCCTTGGGCAACTCAGAGTTGCAAGCTCTAAAGCACAAGCTCCTTTCAAGGTTCTGTTTATATCACGTTACTCACGCCTCATGGGCTGGCCCAAAGCAAAGGGATGGAGAAATAGCCTCCATCTCTTGATGGTGAGGGAGAATTTGTGGCCATTTCTTGCAACCACAGGACGAGCCAGAGGTTGCCCGGTTTGTATCACCCTTCATGGAGTCCTGTGGGCATTTATGGCAAGTTGAGCAATTCCAGATCCGGGCTGGGCCTGGCAGCAGATATGCAGGGTGGTCAGAGTCTGCACCCAAGTCTGAAAGTATGCAGTTCCCAGTGGCTGGGAAGACAATCCAGGTCTTGACAGTGGGGCGCTCTTCGAGGTCCTCCTGCATCACAGAGATCTTCATGCCTGGCAGGATGATATTGTGTGAAAACCTGGATGTTGAGACTCAGTTCTTCTAACCATTTGTGAGACAATACATATTGGTCTTTGCCCCTGGTCCTGGCAAAGAGCTCCTGAAACTCTTATAAATTCCTAAGTGATAAGAACACTAGGAGGACCTTTTGTTCTGATTAGGTGACTCTGGGTGGGCCCCTGGGTGGCTCTGCTGGTCACCAGAAAGACTAAGAAATGATTAGAAACTTGGCATTTTCAGCTCTGTCCCATCCTCCTGAGAGGGAAGAGTGGCTGGAAATGGAGCTAATGATCAATCAGGCCTTTGTCATGAAGCCTCTGTAAAATCCCGAAAATACAATATTCAGTTTCCAGTTTGGGGAACACAACACCTGGGTGATGTGCCCCAATTCCATGAGGACAGATGGCCTGTGCTTGGGACTCCCCTGTATATCTCTTCATCAGGCTACTCATCAGTATCCTTTATCACAGCCTTTAATAATCTGGTAAATGTGTTTCCCTGATTTCTGTGAGCCACTTTGGCAAATTAATCAAATCTGAGGAGGGAGTTGTGGGAATTCCTGATTTGTTGACAGAAGTTGTGAGCGATCTGGCATCTGAAGTGGGGGACAGAGTGGTAAAACTGAGCCCTTCTGACACTGTGTCCCCACAAAGAGCGTCCAAACTGAATTGAATTGTGGGACCCCCACCCGGTGTCACAGAGAATTGCTTGGGGGAAAATTCCCTACACATCTGGGGACCAGAAGTGTCAGAAGTAGAGGAGATATTCAGGAGGAAGATTCACATAGGAGGGAAGAACTGGGTTTTCCTACTCAGGATAACTGAGTTGATTTTCTAATTCACCCTTTTTCTGAAGATAGGGCTCGGAATACCTTCAATGCATTTTTCACTTGTTTGTTCTTTCATGGTATGCATAAACATGATATATGGTAAAGTTCGTTGAAACAAATCTAGAACTGCTCTTTCAAGGTGATAAGAAAGCCTTGCGTCATTATTTGATTGGCCGCCTACAATTCATTCTCAACAGGAATGAGTCAGCATTAGTCTACTCTCCCTACCCCTGTGGTTCATTGTGAAAACCCTATGGCCCTCTGTCCACTGCTGGTTCCCCGGCCCCATGCTGTGTGCAAATCAGGCTCAGAGGCCTCAATCCTAACCTTAAGCTGCCATAGCCTTAACTAAATAAAATAAAATAAAATCTGTTTTGTAATCTTTATGAGATGGTCACAAGAGGAGGCACAGAGAGGCTCAGGAAAAACAAAGTTTATTATATCCAGAGTCTCAGGCGCAGGAGGCAGGGCAGGCTGTGAAAGGACCACCAAGGTGGCCAGGACACAGGAGATGGGAGTGAGAGGAAGCTTTGAAGTTTTTAGAATTTTGGCGGACTTTGGACTACAGGGGTGGTCCTTAGTTGCCTGACACCTGGCCGTGGGATGATTAAGAGGAATATTGCCTCCTGGGATTGGGGCCAGGCGGAGAAGGTCTGGCTCTGGGTTGAGCAGTCTGCTTAGGCATGCGCCTGTGGGCCCTTTGCTGTCCCTAAGAACTGGCCAGCGCGGGGAGGGGGGGCAATCTCTCCGCAGCCAGAAAGGCTTTTGAAGATGTGAAAACATCATAACGTGCAGAAAATAGGTTATGTAAATGATCAATTATACGTAGAATACTACACAGCTATGAAAACAAGTTAACTACAGCTAAGGACGACGAAGAGGCATCTTACAGTACCGAGGGAAAGACAGCGCAAAGGAATACAGTAGGATTCCCCACCCCGGAGGACCCGCTGTGTTTGGAGTTCTAACACCTGCGACCACTTCCACTTAAAGTCAAAGCAAACAGCCCAGTCGCACGGGCCTCCACTAGTTGCTGCGAAGGCCTGCCTGGGCAGCCCCCACGGCGGTTCGTCTCGCCCGCCTCCCGGCCCGGCAGCAACGGAACCGCCGATGGAGGGACAAGGCAGGTCTGCGCGTTTTAGCGTCTCCCTGGTTTTGGCTTTGTCAGGTTGTTTCTTCGCGACCAGCTCTCGGTCATTCTCCGCAGGAATGATGCACGGGACGCCGTTGCGAACCCGCTCCGCTAACCGCCAACCCTAAACTGAGACCGCCCTTGCCCAGGTATCCCGTCCCTCCCTCGCTCTTGCCACTACCAAGATGGCGCCAACGGCGCCACCACGCTGGCCGCGGCGCGAGGCCTCCGGACCAAGGGGGTGTGACCGGGTAGCCGCCAGCCAATGGGGAGGCGGCGCGGGCCGCAGCCAACGGGGAGGCGGCGCGGGCCGCAGCCAATGGGGAGGCCGCGCGGGCCGGGTGCCGGGAGCCGCGGAAGGGATGCAGTGTTCCCGCCATGTCGGAATCGCGGTCGCAGGACGCTGCCTCGGACTTGGGGTCCGGGAGCCGCAGGAGGACGTGGGCCGAGCTGCTGGGTAAGAGCGCGCCGGAGCCGCGGGCGTGGGTGGTGCCGGGCCCTGAGACCCCTTCCCGCCCCAGCCTCCGCCGGCCCGGTCCCCGGCCCCTCCTTGCCCCCCAAGACCTCCCGCCTTCCCCCGCCTCTCCCGAACCCCGGTCTTCGTCCCCCCGGCCCCTGGTCCCGTGGCTCTCCAGTCCCCTCGGCACTGGCGGGGCTGGCCACCGTCCAGCCGGACGTCCAGGAAGATGGTTGAACGAGGCGGGGAGTTGAAGACTCACCCGAGGCGTCCAGTAGCGCGGGAGGACAGCTTAGCCCCCGAACCACAGAAGCTCAGGGGACGAGCACCTGCCCCGGGACTCGTAGCGTTTGCGCGAGACTGCTAGCTGGAGCAGACTCGACTTGGGTTTCCCCGGCTTTCCCCAGCGTGCCCTTTTTCTGTCCCCGGATCCCACGTAGACTTGACTTGCTGTGTCTCGGTTTCCACCCATGCCTGACAGTTGCCCCTTCCCTGGACATTTGGAGGAGTCTTGGTCCCACACCTCAGTTGGTGTGTCTGATGTGCATTTTTCTGGAATGCGTGGGATTTCCCGTGCAAGTACTGTGTCCCCAGGGTGCATCCGATCAGCGGGTCTAGAATGACCCCGAGTCGACTGACAGGAGGTTTTAAGGAGTGCTGTAATTTTGTGGAACTGTTTTTTCCCCTTAGCGGGAAGGGTCAAGAGGCAACGGCAGGGTCTTGGAAGGGAACACAAGCTGCAGGAATCAGCTGTGCGCCTCCTGAGACGCCATCTAAATTTGAACGACCTTTTGCTGGAGGTAAGAGGAAATTGGTTTGGCCTTTGAAGGCAGGTTTCAGTTTGGGTGTTTTGCACCCGGCCAAGGCATAATCTTCCTGAAGAGACACCGAAAAGGCCTCCTGAGTATCTGGTAGAAGCATCCATTTAAATGTTGACTAGGCGAGAAAGAGATGGGGAGCATTTATCTTTTTGGAGGTAAAATAAGGTCAGAGTGAATTTAGTTTTTCTCAAAAGGCTTTGGTAAGTTTCACTTTTTAAAAATGTTTACCTCAAAATATTTGAGACTAGTGCAGTAAGCGAGATACAGAGATACAGAGAGAGAGAGGCAGAGGGAGAGGGAGAAGCAGGCTTCCCACTGAGCAAGGAGCCTGATGCAGGGCTTGATCCCAGGACCCCGGGACCATGACCTGAGCCGAAGGGAGACGCTTAACCATCTGAGCCACCCAGGTGCCCCACACAGCTTGAATTTTAACTAGAGTTCCTTGTGTTTGGTTTCTAGGTAGAAGGTTCAGCATGTAAAACTCTGCGTCTCAATCAGTTGATGGATCCTGAGGCCTCTGCTGATCTTTCTAGTTCATTCATAGGTAAGTTAGAGCTCAAGTTTCTTAACATACGCAGTTATGGGAGAGCTTTATGTAAAGTGACCTGGACCTCCTTGGGGCGTGTTATAAGGCTGTTACTTAAGCAGCGTTTGACTCAACGTAGGACTCAGAAGCAGTAGTTGCCAAAGAGTCCCTTGGAAAAACATGGAACAGTAATGTGCACGTTTACATAAGTGGCAAAAATGGGTTGTGCTCGATCCGAGAGAGCAGACAGGAAGCCAGAAGGAATTTCTGGGGTTGAGAATATTTCAGGATATTTCAATTTGAGAATAATAAGATCAGGGAATTCTATGAGAATAACAAAAAAATCAGTTATTTTCTGGACATTCACATTTTTATTATGAAATGATGGTCATTTCAGAAAGATATTAGCTAAGTCATTAATTTGTTTGAAGTATCAATTAAATAACCATAAACAAACAGACTCCCCTTGACCACTGATCACTACAGATCTTTGGTGAATCGTACTGATTTTCACTGCCCTGTGTTTGAATTTCACGTCCTAGCGTCATCATTCTGGGGAACCAGGCTCAGCCACACCCCTCGCAACAGAACATAACAAGGCATAAGGCCTTGTATGAAAAGCTCTTGACCTTGACTACAGAAATATAAATAGACCCTTAATTCATGAATTTATTAGTGGCTTTTCCTGTTGAAGATAGTTGCTATTATACTTACTCATATGATATATGATATATAAAACATATATGTTATATAAAAAAATTAAAGCCTTATAAATAAAAATAGACACTTTTCCATGGAGACCATTTGGAAACAAATGGTTAGAAACTAGCATTTTCTACCTATTGTGAATTCTTTGTTTCTTTTTTCTTTTTAAGATTATTTATTTATTTGACAGAGAGAGAGACACAGCGAGAGAGGGAACACAAGCAGGGGGAGTGGGAGAGGGAGAAGCAGACTTCCTGCCGAGGAAGGAGCCTGACGCGGGGCTGGATCCCAGGACCCCGGGGCCATGTCCCGAGCCGAAGGCAGACGCTTAACGACTGAGCCACCGAGGCGCCCCTACTCTGTCCATTTTTTTTTTTTTTTACTTATTTGACAGAGAGAGA